ACATCTAAGCCCCTGCTTTCTCTAAAGGACACTGTGCCTTGAGGTTGGATGCTTTGTGCAACCCAAAAGCGGTACTGACAAAAGTAAAGGGCAATTCTGACCTAGAAATATGATGGGAAGCCTTGATTTATTGTACCTTAATGGCAACCTCTGCCTAATTTACTTCAATGTACTGTAATTGCCCAGAAAATATTGACATTGCTATTTATATTTGGGATCCAAAAGAACTTTTTAAAATATTTAAATACTTTTAAATGTGCCACTTTTCTAGCCCAAGTTTGATACTTCAACCAATGTTGTGTTCCCTTATGTTCTTAATACAACAATTGCCATTTGATTTGTTTCAAAATTCTTTCTCTTCTATTTCCCATCTTGTGTATAAAACATTTTATATTCCTTTAGTTAATATTAACTAACCAAAGAACACATTATTATTCTAATCCTGCTTTAGTTTCTGAGCATATAGTAGGAAAAGGCAGGTAAGATGTAAAATGCTCTTCTGATTTCTAAACAATTTTCAAGTTAAGGTCTATAGAATTCAGATTATGACTTCATTACAACATATTGAGTGAAGTTGTCTAATCTGCATAACAAAGGTGGCTGCACTTTAGTTAACTAGTATGACATACTTTCTCCTCATGAAAACAAATGCATGGCAGATTATAAGGTTCTCAAAACAACTAATAACCAGTTTCATACATCATAGCTAAGCTCAGTAAATAAGTAATAAAAATCAAAACATCACCAGAGATCTCACCTAGAACTTTATACATATCATGTAAAACATGTGTGCTGTTTAGAGCTTGTTCACCCTGGCACTTTAAATTCAACCCACAAAAAATTAATGCACTTCTATTTCAGATTGGTGATCTTTATTTCTAGGTAGTATCCTAACAACCATATTACTTCCAGGTCAGTTTAAACACTGTCTTATTTGCATAACAGTAATTGAAGTGAAATTTGCTAATTCAAAAGTCACCAAGGCCTTAAACAGTAATATAATTATTAGGACCTAAAAACATGCTATCTTCTATAATTATTAAGGTGAAAATTATTAAGAGACATTTTTTGAAGAAATTAGCAATATATTGAATTCGAAACCCTGCATCATTCATCATTTCATTCATTCATATCAGAGACAACATTCTGTTTTTAATATTGTAATACTGGCTATACAAATTTCTATATTCTTTAGGCATGATTAGGGTAGGGAATCTCTACCCTTCACCTATTGCTATGATAGCTGGGGCTGTTAGAAGTCATTCAGCAACAACTGGAAAACTGCACTTTCCCTCCCCTGCTGATGCAAACGCATGGCAAACCTAACAGAAAGAGTCAATGGGGGTGAAATGAGACTTTCAAAGTAATTATCCAGTCCATTATCAAAATTTCCTCTAATTGCTAAATCTGCAATACTGTGGCTGAGTGTTTTGATTGGCTAAAATGAAGCAATCTCACTCAAAAGTTTTTTTTTTTTGTTTGAGTTTGGGAAATACATATTTACATACAACCATGTAAGGAGATTTATAAGAGATGCAGCAAGTATGTTTGTAAATGTGATCATAGGGGTCAGTAGTGGGTTTCAATTTTATTTGCTACTGATTTGCTCGCAGGTGTGCGCACAATTCTTCTGTACATGCATAGAAGCTTCTGTGCATGCGCAGAGAAGTCCGGGCAGGTGGGGGGAGCCTCCCACCGCCGCTGCTGCTACTGGTTCACCCAATCCGGGGCGAACCAATAGCAACCCACCACTGATAGGGGTGTTATGATAAAAGTTATGTATAAAAAGACAATCCTATATCTACATGAATGACATGATATTTCACAACACAATTGCCTTTATTTATATAGCTGAGAGGCATTTCTCCCTAATGTGAATGCAATATCTAAACCAAGTAGAAACACACTTCCAATGCAACATCTGTAAAGACTGTTTGCATCTTTATGCTGCAAATTCCTGTCACCTGTTTAGAATGTCTCAATCTGTGGTCTACATTCTGCAAAGAAGAACCCAGGGAAAAGAGACTCTTATAAAAAGAAAGCCAATGCAGAGTGGCAGTGCAAAATTGTAAGCCTGGGGCTGCACTTTTTCCCCAACACAGAAGAAATCTGTATCTGTATCTATATCTATATCCCTAATATTCAATAAGAGAGTATAAGAGGATATACTCAATAATTCTTTGTACAGTGATGAATTATGTTTGGCCTATAGCTTTCAAAAGTATACTAGAATCTTTAAATTGTCCTAATTTTTATAACACCCCATTAAGATTTATGTATATTAACCAACATAGGGCAATAGTGGGATAAGCCTGGATTGTAACAGTAAATGTCCTCTCACCTGTTTACATGCCAGTACACACACGCACAATATTTTGTTGAATATTTCTTAGGATTTAATATTTTTTAAGATCCTAGAACATTCATTTGTTAACATGGGATATTACTAAACATTATTCCAGAATTTTTGCAAATCATAAATATGAATCAGTTATTAAGTGTCAAAATTTTGATCAGGTGGCCATAGGAATGCTGCAACAGTCATAAGTATGAAAAACAGTAATAAGTCACTTTTTCAGTGCTTTTGTAACTTTAAATGGTCACTCAATGAACTGTTGTAAATCGAGGGCTACCTGTATAGACATAAAATAAAGTACATTTTAATCCTGATATAAATTTATATTTATATTCAAAAATAAAAAAAGCTTCCTTCAAATAACTATTCCCAGATATTTAAAAGAATTCAAGCAACAACTGCAACCTCAATTATTAAAAATAATTATTTGTAAGACCTAATGAAATTATTACATTGTAAAGACCTTATGAAATTATTGCAAATTTCATTAGGTCTTTAGGAAGTATATGGAATTTACTCCAATGAACTGAATACATTCATAATACCAAACTACTGCACAATATCAGCACTTTGTTATTGAAAATATATATTTATTAATGAAATGTAATATATGATTAGCATACAATAACAGTTCTCTAATAAACCAATAAATAAACCAAGTTGTGGTTCCAATATCAAAGTCGAGAAACCACAATACCAGCATAACATAGCAAACAGACTGGCTCCAAGTTAGTAAAGGAGTGAGATAAGGTTGTATGTTCTCACCTTATTCATTCAACCTATATGCTGAATATATATTAAGGGAAGGTGGATTGGAGGAAAATGAGAATGATTTTAAACATGAAGAAGAAACATGAAATCTGCTCATATACTGAAAACACTACTCTGATAGCTAAAAACACAAAGGATTCCCAAGCTCTAGTCTAGTAATGAAAGTTAAGGAATTTGGTGAAACAAATGGGACTAAATAAAGAAGACCAAGCTAATGATAACAGGCACAACAACTAAATTTTGAACTGGTATTGAAGTAGTGGATAGCTTTTGCCTTTTAGGACCAAACATCAACAGTAAAGGAACAAGCAATTAAGAAATATGGGGCAGACTAGCACTTAGTAGAGCAGCCATGAAGACCTTGAAAAAGATATTCAGACATTATGATGTGTCTATAGTTATAAAGATCTGAATAGTGAAGGAAATATATTCCCTGTTACACTCTGTGGAAGCAAAAGAAGGACTCTGAAGAAGCAGAAGAGTAGTAATGCTTTTGAAATTTAGTGTTGGAGAAGACCCTTGAGAATATGGTGGGTAGCCAAGAAAATAAACCTATAAATGATCCAACAAATCAACCCAGAATTCTTACTCAAGGCACAGTAGAATTTGTGCTACTTCAGATATATTATGTAAATCTCTTGCTCCTTGGAGAAGGCTCTAATGCTAGGAGAGATAAAAGGAAAGAGAAGAATAGGATGACCAGCAGCAAGATGGACAGACTCAGTTACAATGCTGATGGTGCAGTGTTGGAAAACTTGAAAGACTAGGCTAAAGACAGATTGTCATGGAGAAAATCGATGTGTTTACTAACAGTTCACATTGACCTGACGGTAGATAATCAATCAAAAGATTAAGTAATATTATTCCAGATGATCACAGTTTAACGATGTGTTTTTTTAAAAAATAAACATTTTCTTTAGGAATCATAGCATATTTTCTTGTTTCTTTTTCCTCTCCATTCCTTCCTCACTTACATTGATTTTTAGAGCAATATAAAATTAAGTTTCTTAAAAAGGTATGCATACTTTTCTAACGAAGGTGACAAGTTTCAATATGGCATCATTAAATATTTATTATTTAGGCAGTTTAAAGGATCAAAAGCAAGCTATATAAGTATCTTTCTTCACTGCTTATAACTGATAGCCAGCATACACCAAACATGGAAGAGTATGATTTAACTATGCAAGTCTTATTATTAGTCTGCTGGGTTTTTTTCCAAATGAATTTAATTAATGCTAAAAACAGGGTGGATAAAAATCAATGATTTTTTTAAAAAAAATCAAAAAAGTCAGATTTTTTTAAAATTTAAATCAGATTTTTTAAAATAATATGCTTTTTGAGGAAAATATATTACCATCCAAAGGTTATTACATCATGAAATAAAGATTAGTTTTTTAATTATGTAGAATAAGGCTGCATATGTTTAATTTTTTTGGTAAATAAATTCCATTAATCCATTCACAATGTCATGCTCTTCCAGATGTTTTTGTAAGATTATTGGGCAGTTTCTCTGCCTACAAGATATTATCACAGATGCTTGGTTTACTTTTGCAGTTCTCAAAACTGAATTTGACTCAGCAGAGATCACATGCCTCTTCTTCACAGCAAAAATGTTATATCATGAACGGAGTTGAGAAAAAGACCTTAATCCTATTGTTCTATAAACCTATGAATACAGAATCAACCCCTTCAGTGCTAAGTTTCAAGAAGTTCAGTGAATAGAATAGAAACAATATTTTTCTGATTGTTTGGAGTGGAATAGATCTGCACAAGAAGAAAGTGAAACTAAGTATGAGGAGGAAGGGGCAAGCAGACAAGCAGTACAAAATGAAAGTGAAACTTTCTGAGCACAATACTGCACAGCCACAGACAGACAAGTTAAGATCTTTTTGTGTGTATGACCTGAGGTTTATCACATTCTTTCCTTGGAGGAAAAAACCTATAATGGCAGCAGGCCGTAAAAGAGACCCAGTTTGGCAATATTTTAATGAAGTTCCTTTACCTATCGGTAAGGCAAACTGCAAACACTGCAACAAAGAAATGAAAGGCCTGGTGGCCCGAATGAGGCAACATCATGAGAAGTGCTGTGATGAAGATGACCAAAGAAACACATTTGAACAGGCAGGATCTTCAGGTTGGTAAACATTTTTATTGAATCATATTTCTAAAGACTGCCTTGAACTGTCATGTTTGAGCAAAATTATATTTCTTATTATTACTGCATGTTACTGTCATTTGGTACAGTTACAAAGAAAAGCAAATATTCCTTTTGGGGCAGTGCTGTGTACAATAAGCAGAAATTGTATAAACAATAAAATAACAGCACTGACTTTTTTGTTTAGGGGAATTCATGGATTCTGGAAACTATCCACCTTCAAGATCATCATCCTTCTGTTCTACAGTTTCAGAGTTATCCATCCAGGATAGTGCTTCATTAGCATCATCATCATCAGACACTCAGAGCCACATATCACTATCACCTAAAAGAAAGAAAAAACCCTTCCCTCCTGGAACCACCATAGATAAGTTTGTGATAAAAACTAGCAGATTAGAAAAAGAGTTAATTGATGAAAAAATTGCCCAGTTTGTTTATGCAATGAACTCTTCTTTCCGTCTGACTGAGAACCCACATTTCATTAATATGGCTCAGTCATTGAGACCAGGATACAGTCCACCCAGCAGAGCAGATGTTGTAGAGAAACTGCTGGATAAAGTGTATGACAGTGAAATAGAGCAATGTGCAACAGCTCTGGAGGGTAGAATTGTTAACCTAAGTATTGATGGGTGGAGTAATGTCCACAATGATCCTATTATATGTGCTTGTATAACAACAGAAGAAGGGAAAGTCTTCCTTGCACAAACAATTGATACGTCAGGAAATGCACACACAGCAGAATACTTACAAGAAGTGGCAGTAAAAGCTATAATAACATGTGAATAAAAATTCAAATGTCTAAGCCAGTGATGGCTAACCTTTTTGCCATTTCATGCCAAAAGCGGGGGGAGCACGGTGGGGTCACACACACACGTGCCCACATCCATAATTCTATGTGCCCCCCCCGTGCTCCCCCCACTTTTGCCATGTGATGGCCGGGTGGGCCCGATAGGCCTGTTTTTCACTCTCCCCAGGCTCCAGAGCCTTTCTAGGAGCTGGGAAGGATGAAAACAGCCTTCCCCAGCCCCCCGAGGCCCTCCGGAGGCCAGAAACAGTGTGTTTCCTGACTTCTGGTGGGCCCAGAAAGCCCAAAAATCAGCTGGCCAGCACACACATGCGTGCCGGAGCTGAGCTCTTGTGCCTACCGATATGGCTCCATGTGCCACCTGTGGCATCCGTGCCATAGGTTCGCCATCACGGGTCTAAGCCAAAGACTTAAGTGTTCCAGAAATAAAGACTAATGTTGTTGAAATTGCTAAATACTTCTGTAACAATCATTTTGCTGCAGCAACTCTGAAAAGGATGGGTGGAACCAAGCTAACGCTCCCACAATATGTTAGATGGAACTCTGTGGTGGACTGTTTTGAGCAGTATATCAAGAACTGGCCTATTCTGATGACAGTTTGTGAAGAAAATCGAGATTAAAATAGATGGCACTGTCACGGCCAAAATCCTCAACATTGGGTTTAAGAGAAATGTTGAACATATGCTGAGCCTCCTGAAACCCATCTCTGAAGCTTTAAACAAAATACAGAAAAATAGCTATTTTATTGCTGATGCTGTTGAAATTTGGAAGGAACTGAGTGAACACTTAAAAACAGAACTACACATGGACAGAATTAAATTACAAGCATTAAAAAAAACGAATGGGACAAGTACCATCTCCAGCTCATTTTTTGGCAAATATTGTCAATATCCAGTATCAGGGTCAAAACTTAAGTGCTGAGGAAGAGGAGTTAGCTATGACATGGGTATCCAGCAATCATCCATCTGTAATGCCAACTATAATAAACTTCAAAGCTAAGGGGGAACCATTCAAGAAATGTATGTTTGCTGAAGATATTTTAAAGAAAGTCAAACCAGTGAACTGGTGGAAGTCACTTAAGCACTTGGATTTAGAGACTGTTCAAGTAATGATTTCACTTTTAACAGCAGTAGCTTCTTCTGCAGGCGTTGAAAGAATATTCTCTTTCTTTGGACTCATTCATTCTAAATTGAGAAATCGTTTGGGACCCGATAAAGCAGGAAAGCTTGTTTTTCTTTCCCAGATTATGAACAAAGAAGAAGATGAAGATGACGAGTGAGCTACAGAGGACAGTATTTAAGTTTTTCATGTGTAGGATGGGCTGACAGTCTAAGTTTCTTAAAATATATATATTTTGTTTAGCCAAATTAGTTAACAAACATGGATGTTTGTTTAAGCAAATAACATATGCTGTAATATTATTGTTTCAGTTGAATAAGCCTATTTAAATTGTTATTATTAAGGTAATGATTATTTTTCTCCTTCCTAAGTACAACAGAAAAGTTGTCCAAATATGAATGATTAACCTATTAAACTGAGGATAAAAAAACTAATATGAAAAGTTGTTATTCTAAAAATCTTCATCTACTTGCATATTAAAGTTATACCAGCAAGAATTAGTCTTTATGTAGAAAACTATGATTTAAATCAAGCCTTACTGACTAGTGATTTAAATCGTGATTTCATTCGTGATTTAAATCAGTTTGATTTAAATCAAATCCACCCTGGCTAAAAACCATTGGAGTCCAGACACTTGAAAAGCATCTGCTTGTTAAAAGAGTAGCTATCAATTCTTAAATTCATTTATTTTTGCTAGATTTTGTTTTGTTGGTAGCAGTATTTTTAAGTGATGAATTTTTTATTAAGCAAGGGAACCTAAAAGACTGAGAGAAAACCACTGTATCAATAAGAGGAAAAAGTTGCCATGGATAAAAAAAACCCAACAATCTATGCCCAGAATAGTCATACTGGAAACATTATCCCCTTAGGGTACTTTATATATGCAACTAAATTAATTTTAAAAGTATGCAGAATGGGACATCTTAAGAAATCTGGGTCAGACTCATTCTTTTTAGGCGGTTTAGCAAAATTGAAAACAGCTGCTAAATAGGAACAAGAAATTATGAAATTGTTGAAAAATACAGTATATAAAAGGGAGCAGAAGGATGCAATTATACTGCTCAGAAGAAGAATCTAATTTAGGGGGAAAATCAGGAGCAAAGGTAGTTGTTTTTCTTTGATACAAGTGCACAAGTCTCATTAGTGTTAATAAGACTTATGTGCAAGTATCAAGGGGAGCATCCTTTTGTGGAGATTAACACTACCTTGTTATGGGGACTAAAGGAGATTCTGTCACTCAAAGACTCTCCCTCTCTCTGCTGGTTAATTAAGCAGAAGCCTCTGATGTCAATCTTGGGAGAACTCACTTCCCCTTCCATTGCCAGCCAGGTTGACGCAAAGCCAATTGTCAAATGTCAAGAGCAACAAAATGGATGATAGCAATGTTAAATGAAAAGTACTGAAGACAAGTTCTAACCTTCCAGTGCCCCGGACTGGAAGTGCCCCGGACTGAAATGGGCTTTGACATAGTTGCTAGAATTCAAAATGATAGCTTACAGAGAGGTTTGGGCACTGGAAGCTAGCTTCCTCCATAAACAAACAATCAAAAAAGTTAAATATAATTTTCTTGATTTAAGAACATGCCAAGATATAGGAATATGAACAAGGCAGTAAATCAACAAGATCCTCACCCTCCTTAATGTTTTGTACAATAGATTATGCCAATAGAAAAAAAATCAATAAATAAAAAGTAGAAGACCCAAGACAACAGTAGAAACTTTAGTAGCTGCTTTTCTTTTCGTTTCTGTAATGCAAGAGCCTGGGCAATTTTGTTCAAGTGCTATACACAGCATAGACTTTTTCAGAATGTCAAAGAATCAAGCAAATGAGCAGCTTTGAGTATTGTATAAATAGAAAGACCAGATAAATGTATATACCTTATGCTGTATCACAATTAAGTTACACATGTTGAAAAATACAGATCTCAAAACAATGAAGTCTTGCAAGAATAATTATTCTTCCTACAGTCAGATGTTTGTCAGGTACTGAGGGTTCACAGGAGAGAGACTGGCAGAGCCGTGAAGAAGTCAAGCAGGTAATAAATTTAGAGTCCTTGTGTGGACACAAGAGGGTGAAGTCTCACCTCCCTTGAATGCCATTTCAAGTTTCAGGTGCAAACCATCAGTTTGAGAAAATTCCTGTGTACAAGCATGAGAAATAAATAAGCTGACTGAATTCTTCTCGTGTGGACCTGGGTGTTCCCCCTTGACGGGCAGAATTTCTCCATCCTCACCAGATATATGAATGGAGGAGATTGAGGTTGTATGAAGAATTTGTTTCTCTGGCAGAATAGCATCTTAATTCCATACAAATACTATGTAATAAGCCATGTTATTGTCAGAGGGTTTAGCTGAATAAATATTATTTTTAGAATAACAACAGCAGTTACAACGACAGAAAACAAATACCCATGAAGCTAATGCATCAGCTTGTTTCATACTAAAAAAATAAAATAAAATCTCACTCTATATTTAGATAAAATTGATAAAATTACCAAGAACTTATTATGAGCCCTATATTATAAGCACCTTATATTAGTTTATGGGAAAAAATGACATTAGCAATACAAACAATAGGTTTTATGGTTAACCTGAAAAGGTTTGATAGTGTTGTGACTCCGACCCCCGAGCCCGTCTTATCGGAGGGAGAAGACTCTGAAAGTGAAGGAGAGGAGTTGGCAAGGCCTCCCTCTCCAGGACCCTCCTCTCTGGCAATGCCTCGGGTGTCTTCCGAACGAGAAGAGATAGGCCAGGAGCCAGGCACTTCCGAGCAGCCGCAGTTAGACAGCGACGGAGATAAGTCTTGGCTGGATCCCCAACAGCGTCGGAAAGACAAGCATGAGCAGCAGAGAAGGAGGCATGCCAGAGATTAAGCTGAGTCACTGGACCACACCCCACAGGGGATAAAAGGGGGTGCCTGACACTAGTTTACTTTTGAAGTAACACAGAATGTGTAGTTAGTGTTGTTTTTGATTGCTGACTGCACACCCAGAAAAATTTACCTGCAATATGAAGTAATTCTATTGGTATCTCTGTGTCCTAATAGATTTCATCCTTCACATTTGTTTATTCAATAGATAGTGAGACAGAATAGGTTTTTAAATTATTTTAAAAAATATTTTGTGGATGTTTCCACAGAGAAGACCTTGCAGGTCCTCTGGATTGGTAATGGTGGAGTGGCAATATGACAGGGGGGTAGAAAGCTGTCTGCTATTGATGGAGTACCTGGGATTTATTTATTGGTTCGATTTATAGGCTGCCCTTCTCCGGAGACTCAGGCGGCTTACAATGCATTAAGCAATAGTCTTCATACTTTTGTATATACCTGCTTAGTAGGGCTTTTGGCCCCTCCTAACGGTGTTCTTTTTTATACAAAGTCGGCTTATTGCCCCCACAATCCGGGTCCTCATTTTACCTACCTTGGAAGGATGGAAGACTGAGTCAACCATGAGCCTGGTGAGATTTGAACTCGCAGTAATTGCAGGCAGCTGGCAGATAAGTGCTATTTAACAGCACTTTAGTCCACTGCGCCACCAAGGCTCCACCAAGGATTGTTTGTTTGGTTACCATAAACTGAATATAGTCTTGTTCTGTGTGGGAAAAGTATATAGATAGTAAGAGGGAAAGAGAGGGAAATGACTGGAAAGTTTCTTTCTTTCTCCTTGGCATGCATACTGCCATACAAGATCTGGCTCACAGGTGGAGGGATTCTTCTTATGAGTTGTGGTTATTTAAGGGAGAAGAAGGAATGTCTAACTTCCTAGACCAGCCATCCTGGGGTGAGGAAGGACGATGCAAGGTAACACAGTGTACATGAGTTTTCCTCCTTTCTACTAGTGTTCCCAAAAGGGCATGATATCTCAAGACAGCCCTCCTGGCCTCCAATGCCTTGTGAGGAAAAACAAGGGGCAAGCTCCACGCTTCCATGCTCAGTTGGAGAAACTGGCCGCTGCCTAGGATGGTCTCCCCATTGCCTCTGTGTGGTTGTTGCTGCAAACTGTGACTTCTGGAGAATGCTGCTGGCAACACTCACCTTTGTCAGGGGAATATTTCAGCTATCTCACCAGCATCTTCTCCCACTCACTAGCCTATGCCCCATTCTTCAGTAGGAGAATGCTATAGTGGCAGGACAGGGCTTTTTCTTTCAAAATGATGTTATAAGTGGCTATCTGAGAGTTTTCCTGTTCCCTACATAATCCATTGTAAGCAGTAAAGAAATGAAATCTTACCACAACTTTATTAAGGCTTGATTCATATATAACATTTCTTATCCAATAATCCCTCTTCAATCTTCTCTTTCTATTTACACATCTAATTTCTTAAGCCAGTTTCCAATTCATCCAAACCAGGGAACTGTGGTTTTATGTCTTATATCCTAGGTTATATGCCGTTCTGTACTGTGCTCTTAAGCTACATTTGCTTAGTTTTAAATTAACTGGAAACTATGGTTTATGAAACCAAGAAACTTGACAGAAGTACAGTGGAGGGAGAAGGGAGAAAAAGTACAGGAAAGAAGTCACTGAGTGCATGAATTATTACCAATGCAACGAATACCAAAGCAAAGCACAATGGGATTCTTGGGAAAGAATGGAAGAGCAAAGTCCAAGGAGATGTTTTAAACAATTATAGTATGCTACTGTAACTGACAGAAAAATCAATGCTTGAGTTGAATGAAAATGTGTTGATAAATGCCACACATCTGTAACCAATTTGTATGTAATTTAGACCCTGAAAGGCTCTCTATTCTCAGTTTATACAATAACCATTAATGTTATAAATCTGTTCAGGATTAGTATTTGTACATCAAATCTATAACAGGATGACAATGTTCTCAAGTGAACCTCTCTTCTCCACCATCTTTCTTCCACTCTGACATTTGCTGTAGAAGAAGTTTCAATGATATAATGATACAAAATGCTTGAGATCAGGCAGGCCACCACTACACAGAATTTCTAGCAAACTGTAATCAACATAATCTAAGTTAAAACATGCAAATCAGAATATTATTATTCTAAAATTGCAGGCCATTTTCTTGAAATTTACAATGATTTTTTGTCATCTACTAAACATTCTTTCATGAACCATTAGAGCTTTCAGTTCTACACACCAGAGTTCTGTGTTATTAAAACATTTGAATGCATTTATGTCAACCATCCAAAAATATCCCAACTCAAATAATCTTTTTGTGCCAAACATCTACTGAAAACTTTAAAAATGTATTTCTTTGTGTTTCATTACTAAACAGAAGAACACCGGCTTTAATACAAGAAAACCATGATGCAATGCAAATAAAATACGCATGAGCAAAAATGTCTCAGGACTTGAATTAAAAATGAGCTGAGAGCACTGAAGGCTGAAAACAAATACAGAAATAGGTCATGAAAAGTTTGGCAGAGCTTGCTACACAGGACCATGAAAATGTAATTGGCTACATAGTTTGTTCTGTTGATTTCTACCTCTAGAGCAGCTGACAGAGAAAGTCTACTTGAGGCTGCTATTCGTAAAACTACTTACCGCAGAGTAAGCTCTGCTGAAAGAAATGGGAATTACAGCTGAATAGATGTGCGTATGATGGTGTCACATGATGTCTATGCTGCAGTGAAGAAATAAACTAATTTATCTTTGATTCTGAAAACATTCCAAAATCCAAGAATCTACTGCATATTGCTTCATAATTTTATATAAGGCTTCCTTGCTATTGATTCTTACTAATCTCAATAGCATCATTTTAATGACCTGCACTATATGAACTAAGATGCAGAAATTTTTCCAATGAAACCACATACTAATCAAATACTGTATTTTTCGGAGTATAAGACTCACCTTTCCCCCCAAAAAAGGCTGAAAATTTGGGTGCGTCTTATACTCCGAATGTAGGTTTTTTGGCACTAACAAGGCACTAGTGAGCGATCTTCCCAGCTTTGCCTGCTCCTGCGATTCTCCACTGTGCTTTAACGAGGTGCTAGCGAGTGAAGCAATCTCCATGCTTTGCTCCAACTCAGCTGTTCTTTAGAAGCTTTTTTTCAGCCCTAACTAGGTGCTAGCCGAGTGAAGCGATCTCCCCCCCACCCCCGCTTTGCCTGCTTTTCTCACTGCTGCTTCCTCTCAGCTGTACCTTAGAAGCTGTTTTTTATCCCCAAGCAGGGGATTAAAAAAACAGCAAACTAATGTGCTGATGCTGACCAGACTAAGGACGCTAGCCAGATGAATACCTGGTAGGTAGATTCCCCCCCCTCTATTTTCCTCCCCAAAAACTAAGCTGCGTCTTATACTCCGGTGCATCTTATATTCCAAAAAATACGGTAGTTGTTTTAAAAAAGTTCAAACAGTTCGCAATTATTTTTTCCATTGATAAATCAGATCATCTATTAAAGACGGAAATGAAAAAAAAAATCTTATCTTTCCTATAACTGACCAATTTCCTGTCACCATAAAGTTCAAATTCTGCAATTTTATTGATGATAAATATGAATATGATCACTGATATTTAGAAATCTGGAAAATCAGGATATAAATGTGTAAAGGTAAAATCATGATAAAATCCATAGGTCAGAAAAGCAGCAAATAGATGCTTTGTGACCCACAATGCCAGAAAATTAGCAAATGTTTCCATGATTCCAGGATTTACCCCCCTCTCCATTGGTTTCCCATATATTGCAAAACAAACAAACAAATAAACCAAAAACTACGTTTCATACTTGTCTTTTTTGGCTTTGCAAGATAATTTTCCAGAAGTTTGGGAAAATTTCACAATTGAAACCTAAATAAGCACTATTCCACCTTCTGAAACTTACCAAATAACAGATTTGTCCATTGCTGGGCATAAAACCCATTATTTTGGTTGCCCTGAAAATTTATCATGGTTTCCATGGTTTCAAAAATCTTTCAAAATTACCCATACACCTTGGACCATATTCTTGACTGGCTTTTGTCCTGGAGGACAGGGACTCATCTATGGCGCACCCAGAAAGATGCTCATGCCATGGATAGAATATAGAAGTATCTGATAAAAACTTACGTGGTTTTCCAAAATAATTTGATCTGCTGAAGATATATAGTAGATGATGAAAATCTCTGTTTAGCAGTCACTGTTCTTTGTCACCTTAAAGGAGGCAATAGTTGCTTAGGGAATCACTTTTCTATTCAAAATATGGAGGAAATTAATTACTTTTCATCTGTTTATGCTACGTGCACCCAAGGAAAAAAAATCTGCTCCCAAATGTCCAGGGTTCACTAGAGTAGCCTTTGAGGTGGCACTCGCAGTTTGGTGGTGGATGGAACTGAAAGATCTTCCAGTCCTTAAACTGCTGGACACAAATACTCCCTTTCCTGGTCTCAAATATAGTCATTACAGGTATTCCTCAACTTACAATCACAATTGAGCCCAACATTTCTATTGTTAAGTCAGACGTGTGTTAAGTGAGTTCTGCCCCATTTTATGACCTTTCTTGCCACAGTTGTTAAATGAAACATTGCAGTTGATAAGTCACTTTTTTCAGTGCCCTTGTCACTAAATGAACGGTCACTAAATGAACTGTTATAAGTCAAGGACTACTTGTATCTCACAAAAAAACCAGATGCTGTTGTCGTACATAAGCGCTTTGCAGCAGAAATTGCAAACTGGATCCTTGACTTACAAAAAACCATTACAAATTGCTCCATTACCTCCATTCCTAAATTAACCCTGGTTTAACAGCCACCTCTTCTAGGAGAAAGAGTTCTCCTGTTCTGCCTGCTAGCTGGTGAAAGACAGAAGAGAAAGAATGGCTCACACACTTATCAAGAGAGCCGCTGCTGGCCTGCCACAAATGTCTGACTTAACAATAGAAATGTTGGGCTCAATTGTGGTCGTAAGTTGAGGACTACCTGTAATGGCTTTATTTGAGACCAGGAAAGGGGGTATTTGTGTACAGCAGTTTAAGGACTGGAAGATCTCTCAGTTCTATCTGATTCCCAGAAGTTGCAGAGGTCTCATTTTTAGAAGAAAAAAACAGACTGACACACGGAGCCATATTAGTGGGCATACCAGCTCAGCTCTGGGGCGCATGCGCACGCTGGCCAGCTGATTTTCGGGCCTTCTGGGCCCACCAGAAGTAGGGAAACAGGCTGTTTCCTGCCTCTGGAGGGCCTGGGGGGGGGGGGGAAGCCCGTTTTTCTTTCTTACCTGTTTTCACCCTTCCCACTCCCTTGGAGGCCCTACGGAGGCTGAAAGGGCCCATTTCCCGACTCCCGGTGGGACAGGAAGTGACATTTTTTGCTGCCCCAGCCTCCAGAGACTCCTAGAGACTCCTAGAGAGGTTATGGAGGCTGGGGATAGCAAAAAATGTTACTTCCTGTTCCACCGGGAGTTGGGAAATGGGCCCTTTCAGCATCCTTAGGGCCTCCCCTTGAGTGGGAAAGGCTGTTTTTGCCCTTCCCAGATAAATAGAGAGGATCCGGAACAAGGTAAGAAAGAAAAACGGGCCTACCAGGCCATCATGGGGCCGGGGGGGGGGGGGGGTTGCGCGTGCATGCGCATGGGCACATGTGCGCGCAACCCTCCCCGCCTCTCCTGGCACGTGATGGCAAAAAGGTTAGCCATCACTGGATTAGGAGATTCCATTCGACAAATTCATTACATTATACCAAAGTACAGAGTTTGGTGGAAAGAAAGAAGAAAGACTAGATTTATAAATATATATATAAAATCATCTTCTGTTACATTGTTTTAGCTCCAGTTGGATCTCATTCTGTACTTGGAAGTTTTATTGTTGCCCTCAAACAATGCCAAAACAAAAATACAAATAGCCCTGCAGAATTGTAGATCAAATTCCCGTGCTTTTGAAAGGGTTGAGAACCCCGAGAAACCAACCATCTGGGAGGCAAAGCTGGTATGTAGGTCTCTGGAGCAAAGAAAGGGTTTATTGATTTACAGTCTTATTTGGACTCAGAAAAGCACAAGAAAGCAAGTTTGAAGA